ATCATTGAATTGTTTAATCGTGAAAAAGTTGAAACCGGGGCAACCGGTTAATGCTTGTATTTGCATGATTGCATCCCACTCACTCTCTGTATTTCGTCTCTATCTCTCTCTGTTCTCCTCTCTGTGTAAGGTTGAGTTAGTGTAACCCTTGATTTCCATTAACAGCGAGAAGCCCCTGCTGGGTTGGTTCTATTGACGAAGCTCTGTAGGGAACAGTATAACGGGCGATTTCCAACAACGGAACTACAAGACTGTGTTGGTTCGATTGCTGAAGTGAAGCCCTTCTCTCGAACTAGATATGAGGTATGGAGCTGTGTCCCTCTCTCTGTCTCTCTGGCCCGTTCACTTCAGCTATTTTACCTCAACTAAACCCCCATCCTAACTTCAACCGCTCTACGCTTCGCTCCAACGGAAACCCCTCCATTGGCAGCTAACCTTTCTCTTTCTGTTTCTCAAGCGAGTGTTTGTGTTTGCACAAACAGGTAAACCGTGTAAAAATGTCATGTTTGTGTTTGTGTTAACATTTTTCGGTCATCAAGTAATTGTTTGTACTAATGTCATGTGCAGTATGGCCCCAGCGGAAGTTAAAAGGAAAGGTGATGATTATGACATTCCAAATGAGGCAGATGACATTCGTTTGATGAATAAAAGTCGGGCGAAACCTTATCGTGGTTGCGAAGCTGGTCCGAGCAATGAAGAAGCAACCAACATGAACGTTGAAGATGGCAGAGCCGATGTGAAAAAAGAAATGGTTGACGATGCTCATCGCAATGACATGGTTGGTGATGTTGAACGTGCTATTCTGAAACAGAAATTTGATTCGGTCGAAGATGGAGAAGCTTTCTACAATGCGTATGCTAAAGCCAAGGGATTTAGTATATGAAAATCCAGATTTAACACAAATAAAGAGGGAAAGGTCGTTAGTAGGCTGTGGTTGTGTTCAAGGGAAGGTCAGAGATTACCAAAATACTTGGACCGTGTTGCTGAGAAGAGTAGAGCTCCCAAAGCACTAACAAGAGTAGGTTGCAAAGCCCAATTTCGCATACGGTACGATATAGATGTTGGTGAAGGGGGAAAGTATGTTGTGACTCACTTCGTCGTAAACCACAACCATGAATTGGCGGAACAACACTGTGTGATGTATCTGAGGTCACATCGCAGTTTAAACAGCGCTGACAAAGCTCAAACAATGGCTATGCGCAACGTTGGTGTGAAGACCAGCCAAATCATGGACTATATAGTAAATCAATCCGGGTCTTATGAGAATGTTGGTTTCATCCGTACGGATCTACACAACCATATTCAAGCCGAACGTAGAGCAGAAGTTGAGGATGGTGATGCGCAGGGTGCGTTGGTTTACCTATGCGCAAAACTTGATGTTGATGCACGTTTTTTTTACAAGTATGATGTGTGTAACGATAACAAGTTACAAAATCTGTTCTGGGCAGATTCGAAATCGCGGGCCGACTACGCAAAGTTTGGTGATGTGTTGATATTTGACTCAACTTACAGAACCAATGCATACAAGAAACCGTTTGTCATGTTGGCTGGTGTGACTAGCCACTTTAGGACCAAGATATTTGCATGTGTTTTGCTAGCTAATGAGACAATTGAGACATACACATGGGTTTTGGAAACATTTATGGAAGCGATGGGCAATAAAGTACCTGTGTCCGTACTGACAGATGGGGATAAGGCGATGCGAAAGGCAATCAGAAAAGTATTTCCCCCACGGCGAAACACTAGGACGTATAAAACCCTTATCTAGCAACTCCTGGAGTTGGATCTTCAACTCAACTAACTCAGCTGGGGCAAAACGATAAGGAAGAGTATTTCCAGATGCAAGACATCGATTATGTAATTGGCATCTTGGGAAAAATGCTGTTTCAAATGTTCACATAAGTGGCTTTGCACATGCTTTCAAGCAGTGCATGGACATGGAAACGGATGAGACAAAGTTTGAGCATGGCTGGACGACAATGGTCGAAGAATTTGGACTTCAAACCAACAGTTGGGTGTTGGAGACATATGAGAAGCGTCATATGTGGGCTGAGGCATATATGCGTGGACATTTCTTTGCTGGGATGAAGAGCACTCAGCGCTCGGAGTGTATGAATGCTTATTTCAATCCCTTCCTCCAACACAAATTGAAGCTATATGAATTTGTTAGGCACTATGATCGGGCTCTTGCAAGGATAAGGTATAACGAGGCTGGGGATGATGCTGAAACAAATAACACTTTTTCGGTATTGATTACTCCATTGCGAGATATAGAGAGACATGGAGCTGAGCTATTCACCCGAAATATATTTAGAATGTTCCGTGATGAAATCTTAGAAGAGGGGAAGTTGAATGTCAAGGACGTGTTCCCTTTGTCGGATGGTCAGAAATGCTACTATATTCATAAGTACAGAGTGAAGGACAGATCATGGATAGTAACACACAGTCCAGTGGATGCTGCAATGAGATGTTCTTGCATGAAGTTTGAGTCGTTGGGGCTACCTTGCTATCGCATGATATGTGTTATGAAAGCTGAAAATTTAACGCAAATTCCCCCAACTTGTGTGCTGCATAGATGGACAAGGGCTGCAAGCAAGGATGGCCAGCAATGGCCTCAACCCTCAATTGATAGCACTGCAACATAGACGGCCCGATATGGGATATTAAGTTCTTCCTACAATGAAATGTGTTTCTATGCCTCGCAATCAACAGAAGGTTTCAAAGAGGCTAGGGATGCATGTCTTCCGATGACGAGCCGGATAAAGGAGTTATATGAGAGGAATCTGAACGTTGGGAATGGAGACAAAGGGAAACATTCATTCCCTCGACAATTTGGAGTAGAAGATCCTGATGTTGTGAAGACAAAAGGGAACCCGAGACGGGCTTCATCCAACTGTCGAAGACCAAGAAAATGTGGGAATTGCAAATGCATTGGGCACACAAAGCGAACGTGTCCTAAGGTTCGGTTTAGCCGAACAATGGGTAGTAACTCAGATGCAGATACAACCCACAGAACTGACCGTGAGTACAATGCGGAGTCATTGCCCGTTCGCTGCAAAACTGGGTTGGTGGATCCAAGTACACCGCACATTAAGCAACGGCGACTATTTTTCGATGCTTCTCCTGATTCCAAGCAGCCCGTGGGCCAATACGTTAGTGTTGAAGCAGCAGTGTGCAAAAATGATTCGACCACAATTGATGAGGTGAATCAGGTAATTGTATAATTTGTATGATTTACTTATTCCCTTAATTTATTAGGTAGACAGCACTAGCTATTGAAAACACGTGTAAATAATGTATGTAGTTTTCATTTTGCACGGATTGCTGTACGTAACGTGTAAATAATTGGCTACGTACAATGCCAGGAAATGGCACAACATTACTTATGTACAAGGCCATGAGTTGTAAATTTCCCATATTGTTTAGTATGATGTTGTCATTTGTGGTTGCAGTGACTTGTGATTTTGAAAACTAATTGAATGTGAGATATATATGGGTTGTCTATGTATTGTTTTGGGTGGGAAATTGGCTTATGTCTGTATTTCAAGATTCCTATTACGGGTTGCTTGTTTCTGTTCCATATTTGGTTGGATCTAACTGAAAGGTTTTTTGCGGTGTGGTTTATCAACTAACGATGTGTTTGGCTTCGTATTGATTTGTTATGACTTGTTTCGGAAAATTAGTATTATATTTCGAGTAAAATACGAATTTTGTCCATGTGGGTTTGCAAAATTACATACCAGCACATGCATTTTGTATATAAATACGAATTTTGTCCATGTGGGTTTGCAAAATTACATACCAGCACATGCATTTTGTATATAATTCAAATGGTAGTTAATTTCGGGTGTTACTTGGAGAAAGTAACCCAACGAACTCGTTACTTTATCTCCATGCCGATTGCTATATGAATTACGAGTAACGAACAGGAGTTGTGAAATTATTTCATGTTAACTATGAAAGTGATGGGTTTATTGTTAGTAAAATTATGGTCGGCCTACATCGACAGCAACGAAGCAGTAATTTAAAGTTGACAAGTTAAAGAAGAAAATCAAGCAATTTTGGTATTGGTTCGAATGCCTAAAAAGGATGAAGACTTCTTTTGATGAACTGATGGTAACAAAATAGAAAGTAACAAAGTACAAAGTAGAAAGTAGAAAGTAAGTTGTTGTGCTATTGTGTTGTTTGTAACAAAGTAGAAAGTAGAAGGGAAAAAACTACTCAGAAGTTACAATGTAGAAAGTAAGTTGCTGTGTTGTTGTTTATGCCCTCTCTCTCTGCAATTCTGCCCTTTATAGCTATTATATCCCACGACCCCATGATCTGCTGATTCTGCAACTACTTTTGTGCAACTTCTGTAACTGCACGGTCATTTCCGTGTCTTGAAACCACATAAAACCTTCACTTGTACCTGTCGAACTGCACATAATTGAAGTTGCCACCTGTGCCCAAGTCCTTTTAGCCTTTCCTCGACAGATACAGACTCCCAATTCGTTCATGTTTCCTCTTGGAGGCTGGCCACTAAATCCATGAGCACTGCCAATAACTACTCCAGCGTGTAAGTCAGGTGGCATGCAAGATTCAATGTTAGTTGATAACCCTTGTCTTCAGGTGGACTTGCCATGTGTCCTCAATTGAATAAAGCAGCTATTGGCAAGATGTGGGGAAAATAGGTGCAAAGAGGATTTTTAAAAAAATATCCAATCATACTTTAGCTGAAAATATGAGTGAACTTTTTTTTAAAAAAAAGTAGTTTTCATTTTTTTGATTATAAACCCGAGATGTATATTTTGTTTTTGATATAAATAAGTTGTGTATTTTGGTTACGTAAAATGTAGGACAATAATTGTGTTTAAGTCATTACAATACAGAAAAAGGTTATTTCAAACATATTTTCAAGTTTACCGACATTGAATATATTTTGATTAAATTACAAGGAAAATTCAATATTTGCCAGAGTTTGATGATTCAAAGTCAGGGGCAGTAACAGTGAGTGGCCAAGTGTTGTGGTTCAGTGGCCCAGTTTGCAAGAATTGTGATTGTGTTTAGTGGACAATATTCTGTCGATTTTTGTCTCATAATGATGAGGGACATGCCCCACAATGGTGAAAAGGAAGGTTGACAGGGAAGAGTCAATATTTGGCAGTGGACTTGAAGATTCGAAGTCAGGAGGCAGTTACAGTGGCAGCTATGGTGTAGACGTGTGGGATCATGCAATGATGGGCCACAAAAATAGTAAACGGATATCGAAACCAATGATCTCCCTTCTAGGCTTTCCAAGTATACTAAACCTCCACTTCTATCTATCGATCTCCCTTTTCTTGTGTTTATTTCATGGCCGCCAACTGTTTCAAACTTCTGTCGATAGAGCAAGGCTCCTGCTTTGTCTCATGCTTCCTCCTGAAAGTGTGCCCACTAACTCATAATGATAAGGGACATGCCCCACAATGGTGAAAAGGAAGGTCGACAGGGAAGAGTCAATATTTGGCAGAGGGGACTTGAAGATTCGAAGTCAGGGGGCAGTTACAGTGGCAGTTATGGTGTAGACGTGTGGGATCATGCAATGATGGGCCACAAAAATAGTATACGGATATCGAAACCAACGATCTCCCTTCTAGGCTTTCCAAGTATACTAATGTTGTGTTTGGTTGGGGGATTTGGAGAGGGATTTGGAAAGGGAAATGGAAAAGGTTGGTGAAATGTGAATAAATCATGCCTATATTTCACATAGTTTCACACATGCTGCAACAATTGCTGGCCTCCCACCCTTCAGTGACCTTCCTTGTGATAAAACAGAGGTACCTGCCAAAAATGAGCGAAAACCGTTGCAAAACGAATGTTCCGGAGCCAAAACACGCAGTTCGGGGTCCCGGAAATGGGCTGTTAAGCACCGAAAATTGTATTTGACCTCGAAGTGGGTTTCTCAGCCCCCAGTGTCCCTCAAAATGGATGAAATAGGATGTATGCCAAAAATCAGAGCAATAGGAGATGGTTAAGCGGTCCCGAACCGAGGCACACGGCCTGACGGCTCCGAAAACCGGGAACCGGACTCCGAAATGGGAAAAATGGCCTACGGCCACCAAATGTAGCCTACGGACATTGAGAGATGGTCTACGGGACCTCTCCCTTCCCTCAGGAAAAGAAACAGAGAAAACCGAGTCTGGTTCGCAAACCGAGACAAGGCACAGAAGAGGGTTCGGAAGTCCGGAGGTAGGGCTCACGGCCGCAACTCTGAGACTTCTGAACGAGCACATTATGCAACATCACCAAGCGCTCAACTGGTGACGCCTGAGTCTCAAGGTCGGTCAAAAATGGGGTGTCTACAACATGTCCTCGATTAAGTGGACCATCTGTCGACAGAGACTGGCAAAACTTGGTGCAAACAATGGTGTAGATGTCCCCGAACGTCCCGGAAGGAAATCCCGTTTTGTTCATTGGGGCTCACTACAATTCAGGACTCAATGTCACGGTCCTGTATCTAATTTTGCAGAGTGCAATGCAAGACCGATGAATCATCAAAGAGTCCAAATCCGACAAATCGTTTTGAAAAACTGATTTTTAGAAAGAAGTGCCAAACATGGACTGCTTTGCCAGATACAGAGTCGCCACCTAAATATTTTATTTTGGGGGAATTTAGGAAACCCCTCACTCGTTTGCCTAAGGCCACGTGTCTGTCATCACCAAAGTTGCCTCGGCTCGACAACTTGGGAAAGGTCACTTCGTGAGCACCCCCGCTCGCCCGATTAAAGATCGACCTCTACTAACCATGATATTGAGTTTTGAAAATATTATGTGCTCTTATTCCGATTTGTTAGCCTAGAATTACTATGTGATGCGCACAACATACAAGTATAGACTGGATTGCCTAAGTTGGAACAATGCATCGCACATCCATTTGTTTTGAAAATGGATTGAAGTTTGCTACTCGCAAGTAGGCTAAAACACGGGTTTCGACGAATTATTCCAACTCAAGTAACCCAGCCTTCACCCACATGCATTCAGGCATGTATATCACGTAAGCACATAGCCTCATGGTAAGCATGCTATCATGGCAGTCACTCACACACATGCAAGGATGCTAAAGAATAAACACTTACCGTGTACTTCGAGCCAAAGAAAGAAGCTAATTAGAAATCATGCATGAATCCTAACTATACTAAGAATGCCTAATGCAACACATGCAAAAATGCAACTACGATAGGCTCGGCTATTCTAAGATGGCATATGAGATGCAACAATCAATACATGTATTCAACTTGGAATTGAAATACAATGCAGTTAGCATGATGCGCCGAGCCCGGTGCATGCAAAACAGATGAATGGATGCAAATATACGAGCATAAGGATGGTAATTTAAACGTGCCCTAAAACTAACCATCATAAGTTGGTAAATAAAAGGGAGAAAGACGTGGGGTTGGAAGACATACATCACACACACACATACTTATTACAACATTGCCCTCCTCAGAGGATCCGAATAATATAAAACCAGATGAATAATAAACTACAGCTAATTATTACATGACATTAACTAATTAACAAACTAGTTAAGTAAGCATGTAAACTAAATGAATGTGACTGCCTCGGCTCTGTTTTGGATGACAATGGATGCATGCATGCTCGAGTCGCCTCGTTCGGAAATCCA